GGCTCCGGCTCGGTCGACAGCCCCGGTCAGGCCAGATGCATCATTTGGGTCACCGAGTTAGGGCGTGAGTGAGCCTGGTATACGTGCGTCCATTATCAACGGTCATTAATTCGTGATTCTGTCTGGAAAAGGGACAATACGTTGTCACGCTCACTGTTCGATGCGGTAGGTACTGATCCTCCCGGTAAGAAGTTGATGCTTTGCATAAATTTTCATCAAACTGTAATGCGTCCCGTGCAAAAACAAAGCACTCGCGCTATCACCAGAGACCTTGAGTCGTGATGTCGCAAGAGAAAATTGAGCGCTGTTTTTGGCCACTTGATGTATGCTCGCATTGTTGCGTGATACTTCCAGGATACTATCGTGACACTGAAAAACGTTGCAAACCTGTGACACAGATGCCGGGATCAGCTCTTATTGCCTGATCTAAAAATTATAGGTATTCAAGTTATTGGGCTTTGGAAAATTGTCATTTCAATATAGTGACCGAATTGTTGGCGGCACACATCAGTTTTGTGACACCCCGATCTAAAACAGCGATTAGCCGACCAATCTCATACGGCCTTTGCGGCCATTAGTGCTGATTTCTGACTGTTTTTCAATACATGTTTTGCAAATTATAGTGCCTGTCCGTCAAAACCTGAGGTTACTAGATAACTCTGCCTATCGTTGTTCATCCCTCATCTCCAAGCGCTTGTCCCAAAATATGAATATGTGGGTGACCTGTCAACTTACGCACTCTATTTTTTTTAATTACTGCTGCGTTGGTGTGCTACAGTAAAGCACAGCAACGCTGTTAGGTCTTGCACTTTAATTTTTCTGAATTCGACTCCGAATTAAAATTAGACTCAGCTCCGACTCGTTCAACAACTCTAAGAACTAAAAATGCTCGATCCATATCATCATCGCCACACCCATAATACCATATCATATCACCATACCACCGCCAGCCATACCAAATACAAAAATATAACCAACCAGAGCAATTGGCTATGGCGGGTTTACGTGGTAAGGTAACACCGCGGCACTGGTGGCAGACACATTTTCGAGCCCTGCGTGCAACAAGTTTCACTTGCTTAAAATTGTGAACGGTGCATGTATTGAGGATATTGCAGAAGTCGCCAAACGGCAGTCAAAACTGGCAATTGTGTCACTACAGCGTAGGGTTTTAAGCAAATTTGCACGCTATGTTTGCTTGATGCGACGAAAAATCATGCGATATAGTCAATGTATCATACGGCCTTGGTATGAACATCGGCAATTGACCATAAAGATGTTGACGATAAAATATTCCTTGCGATACACTTTGCCTGGGACCAAAACCAAGTCCCGCTATGTGAGGAAACGCATGCCTCCTATTGGCTCAAACCCCTGCTGTGCAAAAAAGACACGTCCGTTGTTTTTATTAACAGTGCGTTTTATGACATGGTTCAGCTGTCGTTGTGTTGCATGCAGTGCATCAGTGTCAATTCGTACTCTGCATTCAAGTTAGAAACAAGAGCAGACCAGTTATCCGATTATGACCGGGTTTAGTTGAGAGGAGGTGTTGAAAACTGAACGAAATGACCAATACATAAACTAAATTGTATTGTACAAGTAATACTGAGTCTTGTTGTAAAGCCTGTGAACAGGCGCTCATGCAGGTGACACAAAGCAATGGTCATATACGTTGTGATGGTGTGGTATTGACTACATGCATGTATTGCCGCAGGCGCGATCGATAGCTAGGGGAGGACAAGGGTTAAATGTCTGGGAAATGAACTGAATGAAAAAACAGGTTTGAATGAAGCAGCCAGCTAGGTGACAACAACCTGCTATCGCCCTATCGCCACAAGCAGCAGGGCATAACGTAAGCGTACGACATGTGGCACATAGCGCTGATAGCATCCATCAACGCGGGTGACAGCTGACCACTATCGCCCTGCAAACAGTACCGGGGCATAATGTGAATGAAGTGAAGGGTGAGTAGTAAGCCCGATGTCATCTATAAAA